TCCACCTTACTATCTACACACAATCATCCATTGTTTTAATGTATACATTATTATTTTATAACATCCACATATATTATTTTAGTACGTTGCACGTTGCAATCAAAACAAATACGCAACGGATCTTCTGTCTCACGCAACGTGATGTTTATGTAGGAAAAATAGCAATATAATAAAAAGTGGGATAGAGAGTGGCACAGGATGTGGAACAAAAGATTCGTTGCGAAACAAATATTTGTAGAAGCCTCAGATCCATGTTCTTTGTTATGCGAGTAAAGTTTTTTGGTGGTAAAGTATTAAAAAAATGTTCTACAACACCTTTTGTTTACATATATATATATATATATATATATATATAGAAAAGGTACTATGATTAGATTTTTACAAAAATACTCTGAGAAATCTCATGTTTGGATGGAGCTATTTCAAAAAATATATAGTTTTTAAAGAACTCTTAACATATTTTCTGACTATCTTTCTACTTCACATGTATATTTTTCAAATTTGCTTTAATATATTTTTTCTAAAATGACTGCAAAAAAGAATAATCCAAAACGCTATATGAGGATTTTACATTTGTAGTTGATTTTGAGAGTTTGGGAAAAAAGAATGTGTGATGCTTAAAGAGAAATCGAAAGACCTGAATTTCATTTTTTACATATGAATACCATTTCTATCTAGAAGAAAAAGGGCTGCAAACAAAAATGAACAAGGGGTTTGGAACATAAGCTTTGTGTACAAAGATTTAATCATTGAACCATGGTCGATCGTCTTATTCTTATAGTAACTTGATTGTCAACACAAATGCATGAAAAGTCAGGTGTATAGCAATATTCATAACTAGGCATTTTTCTTATACAAAAAGTTCCATTTGAGAACATTTTTATTTAAATTTTTTTGACAAAAGAAGGGTGAGATTAAGGAGAGGGACAGCGAAATTGGAATTCAGAATCTCTAATTCCTGAGGTTTCAATCTCCATTCGAGAACATTTAACATTTCAATGACAATGTACACTTTGACAGGCATGGGTTTTATATGTTATGATTGGTTTTTATGTCTTTCACCCATGATAAATAAATAGACGAGTAAGGGAATTAGGGCTATAGATGAAAGCTACATTTTTTTTACTCAGTGATGGAAGAGATGTAATGATTAACTTTTTCCCCCGAAAGCGTGAAGTGGGAGGTAGTTTCAAATTGTCTTGTGGACTAAGGGTGCGTTTAATACAATTGAAATTTAAAATTGAAATATGAAATTTGAATCGATTAAGTCATTGAATTATTAAATACTAAATTGATATATTTGAATGTATATCATATTAAGCGATAATAAATAACTTATCATTTATTTTTAGGAAGAAGTTTTATCTAGAAAATTTAGTATTATTTAATTAATTTAGATATTCAACATTTGATTATCGAACCCATCTGAACACGTTAAAATCTATATTCATTAACTTTTAAATGCTAAATTGAATTATTAAACAATACCTAAAACAACAATGGCACTTTGCTTTGCTGACAACGAGTCACATGATTGTTGTAAATGTAGAATTCGGAACATGACTAAATAATCCCTAAAAAATGTATGCACTCGGTAAAATACATTTTGAGTGCCAAAATTCTTAAAAACAACAATATTTTGGTATCCAAACATAGGCCTGTCAATGGGTCGGGTCTAGACCCGGATCCGGACCGGATCCGTGAAATTATTGCGGGTATGGGTAGGGATTTAATTCCGTTTCCCGGATCCGGATCCGGATCCGTTTTGTCAAACAAAAAAACGGGTCGGATACGGAATATTGTATTCCGGCCCGTATTAGACCCGGATCCGGATATAAATGAATTAATAATTTAAAAATATATATTTATCAATATAATTTGATTAGGGTGATGTATTTTAATAAAGTTAATTTGATTTCTTTTCTTATTTGATTTTTTCTTTGCATTAGTTAGAAATTAGTTTACAAGTATATTTTTTTCTCATTTTTATTAGAAATTATAAAATTTGGTAAATTTGTTCGGGTAGACCCGGATCCGGATCCGGGACCGCCGGATCCGGATCCGGAAAGTATAATAAAAGACCCGTCGGGTAAACGGGTCGGGTCCGGAATAATGAATTCCGGCCCGGACCCGACCCGTTGACAGCCCTATCCAAACACTCCCAATATTTTGAGAATTTAATGTTTATGGGAGTCAACTTTTGGCCCCTCATATATTTTAAATCTTAAACTTGTCTCTTAATAATAAAAAGTGTCAAATTTTAATCTTTCAGTACATATTCACAGTTAGATTTTTCAAAATTTGCTATTAGATCCATCAGATTTAAAGGTAGAGATAGCCTAATCATTAAAAGATTAAAATTTGGTTTTTTTTTATTATTGAGAGACTAATTTGAAACTAAATGATAGGCTAAAAAAAATTAATAATTAGAACAATTTAACAGCAGCCTGAATAGTTTATCTTTAATCAAACTTATAAAAAGATACTTGGACCATGGCGGCGACACTAGAGCTGCAAACGAATCGAGCCGCTCGCGAGCGGCTCGAGTCGAGCTCGAGTCCGGCTTGAACTCGAGCTTAGAATATTAAGCTCGTTAGCTCACGAGCCGGCTCGCGAGTTTAGGTATATATATAATATATATATTATTTTTATTTTTATATAATAATAAAATTAAGTATATTATATAATATTTTTTATTTTTTTTTTATAGTAAAATTACGTATATATCCTTAATATTTTATTATTTATTAAGAAAAAAATATTATTTTATTTATTTTTTAAAAATAAAATAATTATTTTTTTTTTTCGAGCTCGAGCTCGGCTCGACTTGATTCGAGTCGAGCTCGAGCTCGAAATTTGCCAGCTCGTCGAGCTCGAGTTTGGTAAAATTTAGTCGAGACTAGGCTAAATTAGCTTAAAACTCGACTCGACTCGGCTCGTTTGCAGCCTGACGGCGACAGCCACTAAGAAGTTATTCTCATTGTAGGACAGTATTTTTAATGGAATCACCTTATTCCCCACTTATTTTCTTGGGTCATAATGCCACTGGAGAACACTAAAAATCAAGTGTGAATATTGACAAATTTGTAGTAAATTTTCTTTACAAAGTCAGCTTCATGTTACACTGAAAACTATACTAAAATATTCATCACAGCGTTTACAAAGTGATTTTGGTGTCAATTAACCATTAAATCGATAAGAAATATCACTAATTAAACTTCAAAAAATTTGCAAAAATTCTTCTCTAATGTCAAACTAAACATAATTTGTTAGAATGACATGAGCAATCTATGTAAATTAAAAAAAAAATTCTATAGAAAATCAAATGAATACAAATTCAAGATTGAAAGTAATTGAATGAAATCAATCCATCTGGTTTGGTCGGAAACTAATTCACCCAAACCAATCAAAATTTCTATATGAAATACATTAGCAGGATCTTTGTATCAAATTAAGGACTATTATGTCAAATGAGATGATATACATGGCAAAAGCAAAAATAAATGAACTTCTGGGCAATAACAAGAAATACAAAATTTGGGCCAAAAGTTCTCATTTTCAAGCCCTAACCTTTTAACCCAAAGTTCCAAAATTTTTACATCGAAAACATCAATGAAACTTTGGAATCTAATGCTCAATTAAACGTAATAAGTTTTTTTAGGGGGAGGGATGGGTTAGTGAGAGGCCTTAGTTCGAAAAACATTTATTTTCCAAACATACCTAAAAAATATCACCGATCGAAGCTTTATTATAATGCATTTATTTGTCTATAATTAAAACGATCATAACACACATAGGCCCTGTTTGGCACTTAAGTTTTTTGTCAAGTTTGTTTATTACAAGTTTTTAAAAATTTTAATTACAGTAATCTCAAAAATTTTTTCAAAAATTTTAAATTATACATTTCAAAATATTAAAAAATGTACACACTTCAAAAATTTTTTAAAAAACTTTTACAGTAAATATACAGTAAAATTTTAGAGAAATATAAAAAAAAACCCACTTGCCAAACGGACCTATAATATGAGTTGGACTACTAACTACCAGCTAGTGATTAGCATTAATAAATCTACAGGACAAAGTTAAGATATGGTAGATACTTTTCAGGCAAGAGATAGACAGTTTGCCCTAAAATTTAGTTGACCTAAAATCTTACTAACTAAAATTCAAGGTTTTAAAAAAGACCCCAATCAAATCAAATCAAATCAAATCCTCCATCTTCCAACCTTTTTTTCTTTTTTTTTTTTGTTGACGGAGTGAGTGTCCGTGTCAATTTTTACGGGGTTCGATTTCGATTCGGAAGGAGAGGTCCCATCCCCCTAAATACGATAATCACAGGACTTGGACTCCTAAGAAGGCTTGCTGAGACCAACCGAGTTGTCCATGAGAAACAGATAATTTGATGAGAGACAAGAATTGAATCTTTGACCTCCCACCCCACCAGAGAGGTGGTGGCCACTGAGCTAAAGCTGAGTGGTTTCCAACCTTTTCCAATATGAAGAAAATACCAAACCCTCATGACAATAGAAGTACCTTTTTCTGAGTGGCAGTTAAGTAGGGATAAGCTTTACAACTAAAAGACTTGTTCAAAATCCAAGAAAACCTTAATGACATTAAAATAGAACATAGCCCATGAGCATGCTGAGATAAGTGGTAACGGAAGTTGGCACGTCCAGTTTGTGTCCGTGCGGGACAGGTGCGCGCAAAGAATAGGACAAATCATCCGTCACTACTCTCTAAAGAGTCTGTCAGATAAGTGGGGAAAAAGTGTCTATGCACCTGGTTCACAGGGCATCACAAAAGGCCGAAATTCCAAAACAGTACCTTATGCAGAAAAGATTGTACGGTAGATAGGTTTATAGAGAGTACGAGTACTAATAACGTTGGTGTATTATAGACCGGCTACATATGAGAATTTTTCACTTGCATCGGCAAAAGTTAGCATCTGTCCAACAGTTACCTTAAATACTCTACTCTAGTCTCACTTCTCACTCTTTTTATTTAGTCTTTTTTTTCCCCTTGTTGTTCTTTTGTCAGGCGTTGAAAATAATAGGGGGTTTTTTTCCAGGTGTTTTCTTTTGTTTTTTCTGGTCTTTTTGGGGGGGTTTTCCTCACAGTCCTTACTGTTTCTGCACTCAGGTAATGACTTTCATTTCTGTGTTTTTTTGGAGTATGAAATTTATGGGTTTTTGTTGGTGAAAGAAGGGAAGGAAAATGTCAATGTTGGTTTAATTTGGGTTGTTTTGGTTAAATCTGTGCTTCTAAGGTTTGTAATGCGTGCTATGTTAGCTAAATGTTAAATCTTTATTAAAAGAACTAATTTTTTTGTGGGATTTTGGAGATTTTGTTTGTTGTACTTTTGGTGGAAAGAAGGAAAAGAGAAACCCTTAATGTTTCTGTATTTTGTGTTATTTTTGGTGAAATCTACGCTTTTAAGGTCTGTAATGTGTGCTGTTTTAGCACAATGGTAAGTTTTCTTTTGAAAAAAATGTTATTTTTTGTGAGATTTTTGGAAATTGTGGGTGTTGCAATTTTGCTGAAATAAGGAAAAGAAAACCTTCAATGTGGCTGTATTTTTGGTTTTTTGGTGAAATCCCTGCTGTTTTGGTAAAATGGTTTTATGTTTTGGGAAAAAGTTCAAGCTTTTTTGGTTTTACATTTTTGTTGTTTTTCTTTTCTGCGGTTTTGCTTTCCCTTTTTGGCTGAAGGAAAGGAAAGCCTCACTGTTGCTCTGTTTTTGGTTAGGTTTTCTTGAGATTTTTAAGCTAGGAGTAATCTTGGAGAATTATATTTTATTATGTATGTTCTTTATGATTTTTGGCTGAAAGTTTTGACCTTGCTGTTTTTAAGTGTGAAGAAGAAGAACAATATTTCAAATGTAAATTTTAAGGATTTGCTTTTGTTGTTAGTTTCGTGGCATGCATGGCTGTTTTGTGACAGGATGTGCACTGTTAGGCCCTTGTTATCGGATGCATGCTCTATTTTGCTATCATATCTGGTCTGCTTGTTGTTTCTTTTATGTTCTTTTGGTCTTATTGGACCGTTCCCGTAGTTATTTGGACATTTTGCTTGTGTGTTTCCTTGGAAGATGTGTGTATGAATTAAGGAAAAAGTGAGAGGTCTCTCTTTTTTTTTTGTTTTTTTCCTGATTTGTGGGTTTTGCATTTCCTTCACTTGAAGGGGTTTGTGGCCTTTGGCTGTCTATCTAACTACTTTTCTTGAATATTTTTTGATTTTAAGCTACCAAACAGGAGGAAAAATAGAAACGCTTGAAAGCCGCTGCTGTTCTTTTTCAGAACCTTGGGGATGTCATGATGATTCTAAGAAAATTTGTTGTTTTTCCTAAGAGGGGTTTTTGCACGCTAGTAAATTTGGGGTTTAAAGTCTGTTTGAAAGTTGTCCACGTCTTTTACATTGCATGACAACCTGCTGATGATGCATCATTCTTTTCTCTGTTTTTCTTGTACTTCTGAGTCATGATGTAGCTAAATAGGAGAGCAGAGAGAAAACAGGGGATTCAAATTAAAGTTTGTGCGTTTTGGTGTGATATTTGATTGTTTGGCTTTTAATTACTGATAATCCTCAAGTTTTTCTCCAATCTAGGATTGTAATTTGAAGCAGTATCATTTTGGAACTGTTTCTTGCTGTTTTTACACCAGACAACCTCCCCCTCTCCCAAAACACAAAAAGAGAGAGAGAGAGAAATGTGATTTGCAGTGGTGGACATTTATGTAGCAATGACCACTACTAGCGATCTGCTATTTGTGCATTTTTTGTAATTCATTACTCTGAAGTCATTTTAACTTTTGTGGCAGTACTAAACATGGATTCATCTGAACAAGAGAAGAATGGTGTTACAGAAGGAAAAAATGGGGCTCCTGAGCCTGACGCTTTGCCACCTCCCCTCCAGTTCCTCCAAATGTTACCCCTATCAAGGCTGAACAAGAACCTGCCAAGAAAAGGCTTCGAGTTCCAATGGCAAGACGTGGCCTGGGAACCAAAGGCCAAAAGATTCAACTGCTAACTAATCATTTTAAAGTGGCTGTGAAGAATGTTGATGGCCAGTTCTTTCACTACAGCGTATGGCCCCCTTTATTGGATATATATTTCCTTTTCATATTATATATAGTTATAAGAATTTCACACTGATTGTGATCTTGTCATTTTAAACAGGTTGCACTTTTCTATGAAGATGGTCGGCCTGTGGATGGAAAGGGTATTGGTAGACGAGTCCTCGATAGGGTACAGGAGACCTATGACACTGAATTAGCTGGTAAGGAGTTTGCTTATGATGGAGAAAAGAGTTTATTTACCGTTGGCCCTTTGCCACGAAACAAGCTTGAGTTTACAGTTGTGCTTGAGGATGTTACTTCAAACAGGTATTGATGTGATTTCTCCTTCTGTATATATTAAATTTTTAGGTTTGCATTTTGACACAATCTTTCTGTCCAGGAACACCGGAAATTCTAGCCCGGGGGCCATGAAAGTCCAAATGATGGTGACAGAAAAAGGTTAAGGAGGCCATATCAATCTAAGACTTTTAAAGTGGAGATAAGCTTTGCTGCCAAGATTCCCATGCAAGCAATTGGAAATGCATTACGTGGACAGGAGACAGAGAACTCTCAGGAAGCCTTGCGAGTACTGGATATCATCTTGAGGCAGCATGCAGCAAAACAGTGAGTAAAATGTGAAAAAAATAGAATGAATTGTATCTGTATGTGTGATCTGTAATGTAAGTTAGTATTAAACAGAATTTTGATAAAATTTCAGGGGTTGCCTGCTTGTTCGCCAATCTTACTTTCATAATGAGCCAGGAATTTTGCTGATGTTGGAGGCGGTGTTCTTGGTTGTCGTGGATTTCACTCTAGCTTCCGAACCACTCAGGGCGGCTTGTCTTTAAATATTGGTAATCATTTCTGAACTAAGGGGAGTGTCTTTTAGCTTTTAGTTATCTTTAGTTAAATGTGCTGAATACTTGCACGGTGGCTTCTTTTCAGACGTCTCTACAACCATGATAATCCAGCCTGGGCCAGTGGTCGACTTCTTAATAGCCAACCAGAATGTGAGAGATCCATATTCCATTGACTGGGTTAAGGTAACAAAACTGTTTCCCCTTGGTATTTTATCCATGCTCGTGCACTTAATTTATGAGCAGCACTCTTCTTGTTTTGATTTGATCAGGCCAAACGGGTACTAAAGAACTTGAGGGTGAAGACTAGTCCAACAAATCAAGAATACAAAATAACAGGGTTGAGTGAAAAACCATGCAAGGATCAGATGTATGGCCCTTGTTCTCTTTTTAATTTATTTCATTTGCTTGTCTGGAAATAAGTTCTAAGTTTTCCCTATCAGGTTCCATTTAGTGCCACTGCTGTTCCAACTGATCTTCCTATTCTGCAAGATGGTTGTATACAATTTACATGAAGAAAATGGAATAGATTTGCTTTTGCTCTCTGTAATTTGTAGGTTTTCGCTGAAGCAAAGAAGCAGGGATGATGATGGTGAGGTTCAAACTGTAGAAGTGTCTGTCTATGATATTTTGTCAACTACCGGATATAGAATTGCGCTATTCTGGTGATCTTCCTTGTATAAATGTTGGAAAACCAAAACGGCCTACATACTTCCCTATTGAGGTGATGAACTGAATGAAGCTCAACTTGTTTTATGATTATCAACTATCCTAGTTCTCATTGATTCTGTACTTGTTTAGCTATGCTCTTTGGTGTCCTTGCAACGTTATACAAAAGCTCTGTCCACCTTCCAAAGAGCTTCCTTAGTGGAGAAGTCAAGGCAAAAGCCCCAAGAGAGGATGAGTACTTTGACTACTGTATGTTTCCTACCTAAACCATGAAGTAGATGAGCTTTTGTGCACTGTATGGAAAATTAATTTCTGATTGGTTGTTTTAGGCTCTGAAAATCAACAATTATGATGAGGAGCCTCTTCTTCGTTCGTGTAGCATTACCATCAGCAGAAATTTCACTGAGGTTGATGGTCGAGTCCTTCCAGCTCCAAGGGTATGCTATTATATTGGTCTGAGATAACCAACTCTTAGTGTTACTATTAATTCTTTCACTGGTTTTGCTACTATTGGCAGTGAGGTTGGAAATGTGGCTAACACTTTCATTTGCTTGCAGTTGAAATTGGAAATGGAGAAGATTTCTTCCCTCGAAATGGAAGGTGGAACTTTAATAACAAGGTGAAGTTTATGTTTGATATTCTCTTGTACTCTGGTTTCTGCTCAATTTTTCCAATGTAGTAGTATGGATGATTTGATGAAAGCTTTATATTTTGTGTTCACGCGTACAGAGACTACTTCAACCTGCTAAGATTGAAAAGTGGGCCATAGTGAACTTCTCTGCACGCTGTGATATTCGTGGCCTTGTCAGAGATTTCATGAAATGTGGGGAAATGAAAGGAATTGTATGGCACTCAGATTGTTGAATCTCTGTCTGTAACAATGACACACTAGTCAAAGTTTTTTTGAACTCTCCTTTAAACTTGTCAGGATGTGGAATCCCCATTTGATGTATTTGAAGAGAATCAGCAATACAGACGAGCACCCCCTCTTGTAAGGGTGGAAAAGATGTTTGAAGAGATTCAGGCTAAACTTCCAGGGGCACCTAAGTTCCTTTTGTGTCTCCTTCCAGAGAGGAAAAACTGTGATCTCTATGGTTTGTGCAATTTTTTTTTTGCTATTTTTCCTCACTTAGGTTGCACGTGCACACACGAATAGCTATATGTCTAGACACTGCTTATTCTCTGGTGTTGAACAACATGTTTCTTCCAGCTCCTTGGAAAAAGAAGAATTTGTCTGAGTATGATATTGTTACTCAATGCATGGCTCCTACCAGAGTTAATGACCAGTATCTTACAAACCTTCTCCTTAAGGTCAATGCAAAGGTTAGACTCTTTGTAGCCTTCAAGGAACACTTCAAATATTGTTCTTTCCTTCTATTATGTGAATATATTATAGGTTTGTTACATGTCCATTTACCTTGCTTTAACTTCTTTGGCAGCTTGGTGGATTAAACTCTCTGTTAGCTGTTGAACATTCTCCTTCAATCCCTGTAGTATCCAAGATTCCAACCCTAATTCTTGGAATGGATGTTTCACACGCTCTCCTGGACAGTCTGATATCCCATCTATTGCTGCAGTAAGATGCTCATACTCTGTTTACTTCTCTATATTTTACTATTGGTTGGATATGAAGTTATGATGCTTTTGCTTCTTTTGTTTCATTTCAAAAAGCAAGAAACGGTGAATCTTTTTTTTCCCCGAATATATTCCTTCAATTTGGGTATTTAAACCACTCAATCTCCCTCTGATGTTTTAAAGATTTTCTGCCAAGAAAGGGAGGGTTTCATGTGTCTGACTTGTGCAGTTTGCCATTCTTTTTTTTTTTTTTTTTTTCTTTATATCACTTTTGTTATAGGTTGTCAGCTCGAGACAGTGGCCACTAATTTCAAATATAGAGCATCTGTGCGTACGCAATCCCCAAAGCTTGAGATGATTGATACCCTTTACAAACGTGTTTCAGACACTGAGGATGACGGGATCCTTCGGTAAGTCTTATGTTCTTGTTCAATTTGATGAAAGCTCCTAGTCACAAGTGTAAATGAACTGTTAAACTTGCGCTTAAATTAGAGCAGTTGTTTTTGGTTGGTTTGTGTCAATGGTTAAATTAACTAGTGACTGAAGCTTGATGATTACATCTAGTCTTGTAGGCTGAGTATACTTTACTCTTACAAACATTGGAGTGTAACCATAGTGATGAATCAGAATTTCTTATAGTGTGGTTTCTTTTGAGTTCTCACCTGTGTAGATCCAATATTTCGTATGTTTAGTGTTATACTTGCTTGGGAGAGGTCAGAAAATTTTTATGCTACTAGCTTAGGGGAGGTCAGAAGCATATTTGATGCAGGGCTCCTTGATGATAATTCTCTAGGTCTGTAGGTCACTGTTACATCTATTTGTAAGCATGTGTGTAAAAGTTCTTTGTTATATCCTTGTAGTCATAGAGCAAATGAATTACCTGAACTGGTGAATTCTATGAATTAAGCCTAAGACAACAGATTGTTTGTGTCTAATTTGTCTGCAGAAACCTTATGTTAAATAGTAAGTAGTGCATTATGAGTTGAAAACGTGAACCCTTTTCTTTCAATCCTTTACTGCATCACGTTTCTTGATGCTAGCATTGTTGGATTACTGGAGATGTTCTTGGCATATCTAAAATGTAAATTCTGTATGGATTGTAGGGAAGCTTTGCTTGATTTCTACGTAAGCTCTGGCAAAAGAAAGCCTGATCAGATTATTATATTCAGGTATACCTTTTCTTTTTGTTGCAACTTCTATTATTTAGTAAAGTCTATTATGGTTGCAATACTTAATTCTTTGTCACAGATAGTATTTTAGTTGTATTTCTTTTTTAGTTCTCTCAATGTATTGCCAAATTAATATTAAGTCAATGCAGTCGTGCAGACATCTTAACAACTTGGGGAATCACTAACAGTTACAAGAGTGATATCTGTAAAACAACTTTTATATCAATCACATAGCTTGATTCCTATTGATCAGAAGTTATAGAGAATGGTGAAAACTACATGTGTGATATATTTAATGGGTACAAAGCTTCTACACGTGTTGAATGGAAAATGATAAGTTGGATTCATGATTTTACTAGAGCTTTGAGAGCAATGAAGTGCCAATTTGGCTTGCAATACTTCTTAAGCCGGAATTGAAGGCTCTAATAAGATATGCACTTGGTTTCCAAATGAAGGGGTTGAATTGATGATAGATTCATATACTCTTTTCTTGGTAAATTTTCCTTTTTTATTTTCTTGGATGGGGATGGGGATTATGGTCATGATGGAAAATCTTTGTGAATTTTCTGTAGTAACCGGGGTGGCAATGGATTTCATCAATCATGATGCAGCATTATGAGTTTGTGGTGTGGCTCTTGGACATTGATTCAGGGCATTTTGATATGTGTTCTCTAACTAGACGGTAGTCGTACTGATCTGCATCTTGTCAACAAGTGCAAAGTTATCTCTCATGCATGGAAGCATGTAGATGTTTCATTATTAGATTTTCAATTATATTGTCAGTAGGAATTGTATGGATTTCCCAATTTTGCTGCATATAAAAGGTTTCTGACTTTGCCCATTCTCTTGTACTCTAATTTAGAATCCTTAGTTATATACCTTTTTGTATACCTTCCATTTTTAAACTTTTTATTGGCCTTGTACTTTTATCCGCGGACAAACTGCTTAGTTTTGCTGTTTACCTACGTACTTCTTAATTCTTATCTTATAGGCTGATCAATTCTTGTTTACGTTCCAGGGATGGGGTCAGCGAGTCGCAGTTCAATCAAGTTCTGAACATTGAACTGGATCAAATTATTGAGGTCTCTGTTTTAGCTATTTCTGTTACAAATTAAGCTTAGAGCTAGGCTGAGGGAGTTTGGTAAAAAGTTTAAACTGTTGCCTCCCTTTTGCAGGCTTGCAAGTTTCTTGATGAGAATTGGTCTCCAAAATTTGTGGTCATTGTGGCTCAAAAGAATCACCATACAAAGTTCTTCCAGCCGAATGCACCAGAAAATGTTCCCCCAGGTAATGAGTTGAAAAAAATTGCCATTAGGGAAGTTAATTGTTGCATTGACTGATTCTTTTCATTGATGTGATGCAGGGACGATAATTGATAATAAAGTATGTCATCCCAAGAACTATGACTTCTACCTGTGCGCTCATGCTGGCATGATTGTAAGAACTTGAAAGTAGATAAATATTGTAATCAGGATATATCTCCTCCTTTCATGTTTTCCTATGTTTTGTCTGTGTATTGTCTTTGGTTATGTTCATCTGTACTTTGCACACAAACTTGTCCTGGCCCTTTTTTTTTTATTGGGTTGGTCGGTGGTTTGCACGTGCAGTCAAACAGTTATATACCTCTGAAAATTCAATGGATTCCTTTCTCCTCTTGGTATGATTGGTGGATGATCTATTAAGCCTGTGTAAAAGAATTTGCTTGACATTTGAGATGATCACGCGAAACCATTTTGTCTTACAATTTCTGCAAAGACTTGTTTGGCAAAGATGTGAAGTTCAGATGTGCTAGCATACAAATATATTACTGAATAATGATCAACTCTATTTACAACTGCCAGATTGCTCTTTGTCGCGTGCTTAATGGATTCAGTTATCATATGTGCTTAAGATACTTAGGCATGGTTCCTGTACATAGCCTTCAACCTTGCAGAAAGCTTACACTTTTGTTAGTAATTAGATTCATTGTGTGAGTTGAAGTTCTGCTACTATGTATTGGATATGTTTAGTATCATCTTGGTCCTGTAAGCTTTATTTGATTGGGTCTAGTGATTTCTTTGGTGCCTGATTTTTGTGCTATTGGTACTTTAAGTTGAGAAGTAAGCAATGCAATAGAAAGTAGTACGCTAATATTGCTATCTGCATTTGTTGTTTTCATAAGAGATTATTATGATTTGCATGTTTCTTGCTGAGGGGAATGTACTTGGGGTTAAAGCTCTGTTTCATCCATGCAGGGAACCACAAGACCCACCCACTATCATGTTCTGTTAGATGAAGTGGGGTTCTCACCAGATGATCTCCAGGAGCTTGTACATTCCCTGTCATATGTGTAAGTAGTTTCTTGGATCAACAAAGGTTTTCAGTGATAGGAATTCTATTTCAAGAGTTGAAATAACCAGCTTTATGTGCCTTTGCTACAGGTACCAGAGGAGCACTACTGCCATCTCTGTGGGTAAGTATAACTTTTCTTTAACGAGTGCAAAGCGCTGCAATACCATTTTATTTTAATTTTTTGTTCCTTTTTTTGGTTGGAGAATGGAGGATTCGTGAGAATCTCTTTCTAGGATTTGGCTTTTTACGAATTCCCAAGAGAAAACTCACTTAGCTTGCTAAATATTGGTCTGCCAGTACCAGAGCACGATTCATTTTGCTTTATTCTAATTTTTCAGTTGCTCCAATATGCTATGCCCATTTGGCTGCTACCCAGCTGGGGCAATGGATGAAGTTTGAAGACACATCAGAGACCTCTTCAAGCCATGGTGGGGTGTCTCATGCTGGTTCTGTCCCTGTTCCCCAGTTGCCGCGCCTGAAGGAAAACGTCTGCAATTCGATGTTCTTTTGTTGAAAGCTTCTGATTCCTTTTTGATGCTTTACTGAAACTTTCGGTCAGTCTTGGACAAAATGCTTGTACTTGTAAATAGTTCTTGGCGCGAACCTGTTGTAGTTAGGTCGCTAAATTATGAAGCAAGTTATCTTGCAAGTCCTAGCTTTCTTTTTAGGTCTATAGCCATGCATGCAGGTGTGCCATGCATTGTTTTGTTTTTTCTTTTACTCTGCTGCAGCTACTTGCTTGTTCTGTGGCTTAAATTGCATGGATTCCTGACATTATTCTATGGCAGTGACTCTCATCCCAGTTTGATATTGTAGTGCAATCTCAGTTTGGCATCAAAATCGGCAACTTACATGTGCTCGAAGTTGAAAGTAGATGTGTTTATTTCCTTGCTGCTATATATGGTTCCACTTCTCTGTAGTTGCATGATGAGCCATCTGTAAGTTTGTGTTGAATTAATGAAAGAGCTCCCATTGCCCGGTATGACCTCAGTTGCGGTGGTGTGGTGGTACCCGAGGTGACTGCAGCTGGCTGGCCTAGGCAAGCTTTGGAGCTTGACATATTTCTGTAGGATCAGTTACATTGAAAGTAAGGTCATGTAGTTCGCTGGAACGGTTCCAGCTATCTTTGTTTACATATGAAGCTGGAAATTGAGCAGAAAGTAGCTGCTAATCCAGGCTGGGAAGCCTCAACTTCCAGTCTATTTCTGGGCATGAATTCTTATGCTGAAGAAAATACGGTGAATACAAGAAATGATAATTCAGGGACTTAAATGTAAACTACAACTTGAACCAATGGGAGGGAACCTGTTTATGCTCAACAAGTGTGACTGGACATATGACATTTTCCATGGTTAATTTTTATACAGAGTTGAAGATTACTGATGTTTGGCCTCTCGGCCATATTTCTTTTGTCTCGATTCAAATTCAGATTTTGTTAGTTACTCACGGTTAATAATAGAATAAGTTAATTGCAGTATTCAATGTTGGAATTCTAATTTCAACATATTGTTTTTTAGTGATTGTATGCAAGGGCAAAATATGTGGATATTTGTCTTCTTCTCCCTCTTATTGAAATATGACATATTTGGAGATACAAAATAAAATCACGGATAATAAATGGGACTGAGGGAGTAACGGAGTTGAACTAAAATACGAAAGCAAATATATATGGTTTCTAGGTTTAATTCACAAATAGTTAGCCTTAACCAATTCACATAAGCGAATACATAAGGTGAATTTCGTTTTGAAAACAAATTATTACCTAAAGAGTTTTTTCTTTTCTTGCCACTAACAAAGTGGTTGTTTTATTGGGTCCTATCAGTCTCATGTACTCATTTCAGTATATTAATTCTTCAACATTACAAAAATAGAAAATTAGAAAAAAAAATTAGCAAAAATTATGAATCTTTCTGCTAGTTTTAACATGCTAGATCAAATGCCTACCAAAGCAATTGGTGAAGTGGTAGTTTTGTAGATAATAAGTTCCATGAAATATTAACAAAGTGGTCTCCAAAGTAAATTTCACAATGAAACCTTTGGTATTAACTTTTGTTTAATATTCCATATGTTTATACCTTTTCTAATTTCAGGACTACATCAAAACTCAATTCCTGATGAGAATTTGTTGCTGGAGTAGTAAATACCCTATCTTTAAATTGTGCTTATTAGATATTTTGTTCTTTTCAAATTGCGTCTAATCAATTTTAAGACTTAATCCTTATGAAGATCGGAGCCGCATCTAGTCAATGCGTGGGCAATTTCAAAATTTTAAGAATGTAGAATCCCTAAGATAGAGATTAAGAGAATGGTCGGCTAAACAGCCATAGAATTTTCCTAAAATTATAGTATTGTATTGCTATCAATTACTCTAAATTGAGAATATTTATTTAGAAAATTTAAGGTCTTGTTTTGGATTGAAGTTTTTCACAGAAAAATTTTTTCTTTTCTGTGATCATATTTTCGAAACACCTTTTTGCCTTACATATTTCATGTCAGTATGTTTTCTACACCTTTTAACTTTTGCAAATGAAATTAAGACGGTTCCACCTGACATAATTGAAGAATTAGTATAGTAATAAAAAAAGAGAAAGAATACATCTCCCAAAAAGGGAAAAAAATTAAGGTGAATTAATGACCTATATTACATATTACCAGGTTTATTGAATTTCCCTACAGCATAAATAGGAGAAGGACAAAGCAAATTAAGAATTTCATAAAAAAGGTAAAACACAACCAAGTCAATGGGGATGAAGATTTACAGAACGGGAAGAATTACAGCACCTATGCCCCTAACGGCGTCGTTTATGGGTCCCAAAAGTCAACGGAGATGAAGACTTATCGAAGGCGCAAAACACCAACTACTCCTCCGAACACGTCGTTCATGCCCTCCACGAGTCAGCATGAAGACTTACCAAAAACGTAAAGTCAATGTTTTGAAAATCGGATCGGATCGGATCGGTCGTTCGATCGTTGAACCGATTTGTGAACCGGCCTTGTTTCTGTCCGGTTCAATTAAAAACCAAAAGAATTAATTTAATTGGTTAAGAACTATTGAACTAGTAAAAATCGGGATGTTCAACCTGTTTTTTATTAAGTATTTATTTTTAAAATAAATATTATATTTTATTCAAAATTTTTAATACTAAAATAAATAAAAAATTATTACACCTTTGAACTTGAACGATGAACTGATTGAATCACGAATCGGAAGGTTTTTCGGTTCACTCTCCGATCGGGTTTAAAAACATTGCTTCAAACGCAAGAATTACACTAACTGATTCTCTGAATGACATCGTCGTCCACGCTTCTTCGCCGGTTCCCAAGTCAACGGAGTTCAAGACTTAATAGACGTAAGAATGGCAGTAATAAAATAATGTGGATTAATTGTTTTATAGTGAACTTTTTCTTTAATTGGTGCAACGTGCTGCAATACCATGTTATTTTACATTTTTGTTTCCATTTTTTGGTTGAAAATATGGAGAATTCATGAGAATCTCTTTATAGGATTTTGTAGAAAAATATAATTTAAGAATTTGATATAAGATAAAAAGTGATTGAAAAATGTGTTTACGGAAGATGTAAAAAGTTTTTGGAGAAAAATGACAATCCAAATAAGGCTAATATGCTAAATATTGATGTGCAAGTATCAGAGTGCGATTCATTTTGTTTTATTCCAATTTTTTCAGTTGCTTCAATATGCTATGCCCATTTGGCTGCTTCACAGCTGGGGCAATGGATGAAGTTTGAAGACACATAAGATTTCTTCAAGCCATGGTGAGGTGTCTCATGCTGGTTTTGTCCCTTGTTTCAGAGTCAGACGATCTTCTGTCCATTATATCTGTCTATTTTTCCTTGTCAATACAAAACTATGTAGTTTTATCTAGTATTGTTGATGTGGCACACAACATTAATTTATATTTAAGAGGTATTTGGTAAATGGATTTCAAATTCAATAATATTCATAAATGATGTTTGTTTATGCCTAATTGTACCCATAATCTTCTATTTTGGAATTTCACGCCGCATGATTCAGATGAGATTAGGCAAGCATTTGAGGATGAGATCCTTGAATTTATCAGAGTTACAATTATATGCAGTCATGTTGATTCAGAAAGTAGGCCGTCCATACTAAAATTGAATTTGTAACCCATTTACCAAACACCCTCTAAATATATATTCAATGTTACGTGCCACATCAACAGTATTAATAAGTGTAATTACATAATTTTGTGTTGGACAGGAAAGTGTACAGACATAATGGACAGAGATCCCATCTTGTTCCAGAGTTGCCGCGCCGGAAGGAAAACGTGTGCAATTCAATGTTCTTTTGTTGAAAGCTTCTAATTCCCTTTTGATGCTTTATTAAAAGGGATAATTTCAGAAACCTCCCTAGAGGTTTTTGACAATTTCACTCGGCTCTCCTGAGGTTTCAATAATTACGTTGACCTCCCTTGGTCTAATCAAATGACTAAAATGTCCTCCACTTAATAGTTAATTTATAAAGGAATTTAAAACGGAAAAAATACTTCTTATTATTCTATTTGTCATTTCCTAATCTCAAAAAACAATCTCCATTAATTTTCAATTTTCCTCTCTTCCTCCCTCTCTCCTCCCATCCTCTTTCATATTCTTCTCTCTTTTTCTCCTACAACTGCTTCTCCCTCTCACCAAATATTGCGCTCCATTGTTACCAACCAAACCATTATCAATTTTTTACCATCTCCACAATTTATTTATATTTTTTTGTCTTCCTGTCTCTTTTTCCTATAAAAATTTTAAACCTTCTTTTTTTTTTTTCCAATTTTTATGCTTTACAAATGTTAGTCAATTGAAGTTATCAAATTAACAAGGTGCAGACTGTTGATTTTATTGTCAAACTAAGGGAAGATGAAAAAGATAGTAGTGATAAAGAGAAAAAAAATGAAATTGAGAGTTGGAAGATAAAGAAGTGACTATTATATTTGTTAAGCAAAAAAGTCTAACAATTACTCATTGGTTTTCTCTTTTATTTACCTATTGATTGTGGTTTTACTATAAGGATAGAATTTTGTCTCTATTTCTAAGAGTGCTAGAGCAATGATGAATTATGTTCTTAGGGACATGGGGGCATTTCTTAGTTTAGTATTGGTAGTGGTGGCAGTGAATTGCATTAGGCAAGAATTAGTTAGCAATGGATTTTGAGATGAGTTGGAGTCGCTAGATTTTGTTTGTTTTAGTAAGTATGACACATACAAGAAATTAAAGATTAAAACGTTGTTTTATTTCATCTTGTTCTCAGAGGAAGGATATTTTAGGATATTTGTGAAAAATTATGGGCTATTGGGTCTATATTGTTAAATAAACCTTAAAAGCAAGGGAGGTAAGGATAATTTTTTAAAATTGAGGGGAGCTCTATATAATTGCTAGAAACCTCAAAGGAGGTTTCTGAAATTATCCCATACTAAAACTGTCAGTCCTGGACAAAAGGCTTGTAAATCGTTCTTAGTTCGAATGTCTTGTAGTTAGGTTGCTAAATTATGAAGCAAGTTATCTTTCAAGTTTTAGGTCTATAGCCATATATGCAGGTCTGTCATGCATTGTTTGGGTTTTTCTTTCTCTCTGCTGAGTCTACTTGCTTGTTCTGTGGCTTAGCTTGCATGGATTCCGGACATTATTCTATGGCAGTGACTCCCATCCTAGTTTGATATAGTGGTGCAATCTTAGTGTGGCATCAAAATCAGCAACTTACATGCTTAAGTGGAAATTAGATGTGTTTGTGTCCTTGCTGCTATATATGCTTCTACTTCTCTGTAGTTGCATGATTAGCCACCTGTAAATTTGT